GTCGTGCAACGTATTGGGACGGTTTTGGCATTGCCGGCAATGTGGGTGCGGCTTCCGGATGACGCATCCGGCCTGCGGGCCGACAGTTTGACACCCCTGGTTTAGTGCAAGCCTTAGAAGAAAAGATGTAAAAGTATTCCCAACAATACATGTAAACTGGAATTATTTTGATTTTGGACACATTTATTTTAATATTTTTTAAAATATTAATGAGGACACCTTGGCTAGCATCTGAATTCTTTATCTTTACTAAGGAAAAAACTTTGCATCCTTGCTAACTTGCACTTACCTACAAAGTTTTCTTTATAGAGCCACATGTTAGGCTTTTGTATTGTTTTATCCCTTGGATGAGAATGTTTTGTTTGTAACTCTTGTAAACTGACCTGAACATTGCAAATTCATTTGAACTGTTAGGGTTACTTGTTGCATCGTGGTGGCGCAGTGGTTAGAGTGCAGTACTGCAGACTACTTCTGCTGACTGCCGGCTGCCAGCAGTTCAACAGTTTGATCCTAGCAGGTCTCAAGGTTGACTCAACCTTCCATCCTTCCGAGGTTGGTAAAATGAAGATTCAGATTGTTTGGGGGCAATATGCTGACTCTATAAACCACTTAGAGAGGGCTTTAAATCACTATGAAGCGGTATATAAATCTAAGTGCTATTACTATTGCGCGCTCTCTCGCTCTCCCCTCACCAATTCCCTTGAGTTTTTTTACGTGCACAGACTTATTCTAAGTCTTGCCCTAGTTTTATTGTGCATCCCACTTTTGTATCAACTCTTTGATAATTGTATGTCAGCTTTCTCAAGTAGACCAGCAGGAAACATGACCAGATAAACTAATGCTACTTTACTATAAAGCTATATTATATTATATCTTGCATGTGTGAAAGTACAATTCTCCCGCCATTTCTTTTACAGCCTGAGAACCTAAGGAGGGTCCTTTCTGAGCCTGTTGCCCCGCCCACTATCCAGCTGTGGGCTATGCTCTCTCTTATCTGACTGTTCCCTAAGTGGCCTCTGTTCACCCTGTCTCCCAAAGTCTTATCCATGTGCTTGTAGGAAGTTGTAAAAGCCCTCAGACTGGGGCTTAAGAGCAACATGTGGGCCTGGTGACTAAAGTTGCCCCCACCCTGACTTTAGGACTATGTGCAGAAGAGAAAACAGTGGGGATTCATGAGCAGCGTTTCAATGTGTACACAGAAGACAGAAGATCTTTTCATTGCAGGGTTTGGTGCCTTTGTGGACAAGACCATGCTGCCTTATGTAAATATGGTTCCTTCCAAACGGAAAAATCCCTGCCAAGACCCAAAGGAGAATTGCCAGTCGGCGTTCAGCTTTCAGCATGTGCTCCCTCTCACTGAGAACGCCAGTGAGTTTGAGAGCAGGGTCAGTCAGCAAGGCATCTCCGCCAACCTGGATTATGCAGAAGGAGGCTTTGATGCTATTATGCAGGCAGCCATTTGCAAGGTGAGTGTAGCAGAAGCCCTGAGCACACAGTCTTCAATAACAATGAGGCACCTGCTGGCAAGGTACCTCCAACCCAGATGTTTGTAACCTTCTGTCCTTTGAGATGCTCGTATGAATTGTGCCCATGTTGCTCTGTACTAGGGAGAACTATAAGAAAGGTCCCATCCTAATAAGGCTTTTTCCTTCTCCATTTTCACAATTTATCCAGGATTTCAACTTTCAAGGTAGGAATACTAAGCCTCAACTGATGAATACCATTAACCTTTCTAAGTTTTCATAACCAGCAGAACAGTCCTGCCAGAGCAGACTAAACTATGAATTAAGCAGGATTGATTCTTTCTTTACTCAGCTTCCCTGGATGGCACCTTGTCTTTCTTTTCAGTGCTGAGAGAGAGAATGAGAAAGAAACCTCTTTCTCTAGCTGCTTTTTCTATACCATGTCAAACTTTAAAAAATTATTCCCCCATTATATGTGACCCCCCCCCCCCAAAGCTTGGTAACTGGTTATATTTTACCACTTCATACAAAGTTGTGACTGTTCTTTTCCTACAGCAAAATCAGGAAGTTCTCCAAGAGTTCTCCCACTTGCTCCCAAAGAATGATTTTGATATTTTTCCTGTGGAAAAGAATACATGTCCTTCTTCCTTGCTCTGGACAACTCTTAGGCATTAAAATCCACTAGGCCAGGGGTCCCCAGCCCCTGGTTCCTGGACCAGCACCAGTCTGTGGCATGCCAGAAACTGGGCCGTGCAAACAAGCGAAGCCCCATCCGTGGGATGCAGGCAGCACCCAAAACCATGCCCCTTCCAGTCCAGGGAAAAATTTCTCTCCATGGAACCAGTCCCTAGTGCCCAAAAGGTTAGGGGGCGCTGCACTAAACAGCTACGAGCCTAGGATTCTGCAGACCAGATCAATTTCCTTCCTTCCTTCCTTCCTTCCTTCCTTCCTTCCTTCCTTCCTTCCTTCCTTCCTTCCTTCTTTCCTCCCTCCCTCCCTCCCTCCCACTCTCTCTCTCTCTATTTTAAACTTTCTTATCTATTCCTTGTTAGACTTTTTATGAAATATTTTAAAACCTTTAAATATCTTTTTTCCCTTTGTAATCCAGAAAAAAAATGTTGACTCACCAAGTGGAATTATCATATCCTACTGCTCAGATGATCTCTCTTTAGCTGTAAATTAATTACATCCAAAGGTGTTTAAGAAACTCAGGCATGCATGAACCTTGTATCCCTATAAGTTGCATTATGACTGTGAACTTGATTAATAGCCCTTGACTCCCCACTGCTCAACTCTCGAGTCAACCACAAAACCCTCAGTTTCTGCCATCTCTTCATGAGGAGCAGTTGTACAGAGTGCAAGTAGGCGATCTCACTATCTCTCCTTTACCCGGAAAGACTGCACTGGCTATCCACATCTGCAGCAATGGCATCCTGGCATCAGGGATGTCATGTCCACCATAGATCCTCAACCAGAAGCCACTCCTACTTTTTCTCAATCCAGAGCAAAATTTCACAAAATTTAATTGCGAGCCCACAGTCTGATAGTTCAAACTTTGGTAACTGCTATATTAGATTTGTTTGCTGCTTTCCACATTTTCACTGGGAAATCCTGTTTTCTAAAAATTATACTAAGTGACAAAATCTGAGGTTTGGTATTGGTAGGTCTAATAGATCTTGAACTTTGATCCGAGCTTTATTCAAATGCTGTCTTGACCTCTTCTGAATATGCAACACTCCTGAGACATGGCTAAGGAGTATTCAGAATGAAAAAATTGATGACATTGGAGCTGCTGTTTTGAATGTGGGAGAAACCATCTGACCCTTGCTCTCTCTTTTGCAGGAGCAGATTGGCTGGCGTAATGTGACAAGTCTGCTGGTTTTCACTTCAGATGGCACTTATCACACTGCAGGGGATGGAAAATTGGGAGGGATCTATATGCCCAATGATGGCCGCTGCCACCTGGATGCCAACGGTGTATACAGCAAAAGTCACCTCTATGTAGGTTTCCTTCTTAGCTTCTTGAAAAGCTACTGAGATTGCTTAGAAAATAAGTGAAAGTGCAGTGTCTACAACACCAAAACCTGGGACTCTTGGGGGTGCTGAAAAATTCAGTGGCACAATCTTCTCAAAACCTGGTATCTTCTTGGATATTTTGGATTTTAACTCTAGCTGAAAGAGGAATTCTGGCAGTCAGTCTCAAGCATCTGAAGAACATCAATTGCAGGATGTATTGAAGCAGAACCCAAATCCTCTGTATTGACCCAGCTGGAATATGGAGAGAACAAAGGGATTGCAAAATCTCCCAGTCCCTATTGATTGAAATTCTGTGGGAGGGAAATGATGAGGAAGTGTGGAAATGCTTGGGGCTGTGAAATCAATGGGGGAAGGAAGAACAGGGAGAAAGGTAAATGTGTAGACCAATTTGGATGGTCTACCATGCCTATCTCTGGGGTTACTGAATCCATCACACAACCATCAAACATGTTTTCCTCATAGCAATGTCTAGTTATTAGCTGAGGAAAAGAGAGCGAATATTAGTTGTACTTTACAATGTTATGAGCAATAGCATTGGATGTAAGATTATTTGTTGAAATAGTAAGTAACCAAGAGCCCACTAACAACTCCCATTAGCTTTAACCAACACAGTAAAAAATAAAAGGCAATGAGAATTTATCCAAATCTGGAGCATGTCAGGTTGCCTAATCCTGGTTTACTCTTTGAGCATCTATTTAGCCCTTCATTAGGTAATGGGATCGTTGTCACCAACAACGGTAGCTGTATATCTGCCTCCCCACTCCAACACTGTATATTCTACTGAGCTCTAGATTACTACAATACCATGCTAGTCCCTATTTCTCCATGGTAGTTAGGGGAAGTGTAACAGCACAGTGGAAATAAGCTGGTAGTTTGACAGTGGATATGTATTTATTTCTAATTGCCATATATATCTTCTCTCCAATTTAGCACTAAAGCACTAAACAAACTATTGGTCCGTCTGACCTAATAACTTGGCCTGTATGAGAGAGGCTTTCTAAAGCTTTGAAGGATGGCCTTTTCTTGTTTTTCTGTCCAAGCCCATACTTATTAGAGATAGCAGGAACTGAATTGAATCTGCTGCAACAAAAAAAACATGCACTCTGTATTAGTGCCTTAGTTCTAGCCATAATCTTTGAAGAGATGCCCTGAAGAAGTCTGATGTAAATAATGAAAATTCAATCAGTTGCTGCACATGCTTCTGCTTTTTGGGAGGGTGAAAGTAAATTCACAACATTTGGTTTGGAAGAGAGGGCACAAAGCTGCTGGATTCGATCTGAAGTCCTGATGAGAGGGAACAGTAGGTCCCTACGGGAAAAATGTAAAAAAGATGTTGAGACTCTAGAAAGAGTACAGAGAAGAGCAACAAAGATGATTAGGGGACTGGAGGCTAAAGCATATAAGGAACGGTTGCTGGAATTGGGTATGTCTAGTTTAGCGAAGAGAAGGACGAGGGGGGACATGATAGCAATGTTCCAATATCTCAGGGGCTGCCACAAAGAAGAGGGAGTCAAGCTATTTTCCAAAGCGCCTGAAGGCAGGACAAGGAGCAACGGATGGAAACTAATCAAGGAGAGAAGCAACCTAGAACTAAGGAGAAACTTCCTGACAGTTAGAACAATTAACCAGTGGAACAACCTGCCTCCAGAAGTGGTGAATGCGCCAACACTGGAAGTTTTTAAGAAGAAACTGGACAGCCATTTGTCGGAAATGGTATAGGGTTTCCTGCCTGAGCAGGAGGTTGGACTAGATGACCTCCGAGGTCCCTTCCAACTTTATTATTATTATTATTATTATTATTATTATTATTATTATTATTATTATTATTATTATTATTATTATTATTATTATTATTATTATTATTATTATTATCTGCCCCTGTAACTTCAGCCTCTGCTTTTTTCGCAGGACTATCCTTCTCTTGGGCACTTGGCTGAAGTGTTGTCCAAATCTAACATCCAACTCATATTTGCCGTGACTAGGACCAGGCTCTCCTTATATAAGGTGAATGCTGAATTGAAGAGTGGGGAAGGGAGATTTACTTGGACTATTGGGGAGGGGGTACAATCTCCCACTCACATTTTCCTCTCCTCTCTAGGAGCTGAGCAAGCTTATTCCAAAGTCAGTGGTGGGGGAACTGAAGTCGGACTCCAGAAATGTGGTGCAGCTCATAGAAGATGCCTATAAAGTGAGGACATTGAGTAGTCTGGCTCATCTGAAATTAACCCTGATCACTTACTAGGGGAAATACCACTTTTCCAGTGCCACCATCTACCCGAGCATTACTCAGAAAATGGCCTGGAGGGACCCAATCCTCATGCTCTAATAAGAAATAAGTAGACTACATAGGTTATCATAGTTGGGAGATAACCTAGAAGCACTCTGAGCCCCTTGAATGGGCTGTACATCAGAGGAGGCTTCCTTATACAGCTCTTCTAGCCTACGGCAGCTTTTCAGTTTGTTTTGGATATTCTCAGAACCAGTAATGAGTGAAATTGAGAAGGATCCTGCTTAGTTACCCTGGCTTGTATTCAAACACTCCCAGGTGCAAGAGAAATTAAACAACCATATGTCCAGGCAAGTGAATGAATAGGCAGAGACTGGATGCCATGCTTTGCTTCACCTCTGGGTTGATGCAAACCAAGTCAGCCACTGGAGGAAAAATGTTCCAACCATTATGCATAGAACAGGAATGTGGCCAAGACAGAATTCTCTCCTTTTTCTCAGCCATAAGATCTCAGATGGTGTACAGCAGGGGTGTCAAACTGCTGGCCCGTGGGCCAGATGCATCATGCCAAAACCGTGCCCACCCGATTGCTGGCAATGGAAAAAAAGTTGCAATACATTGCGAGTTTGACACCCCTGGTGTAGAGGTTAAGATGTTAGATTGGTACTGGGGAGCTCCAGGTTCTACTTCACCCTCAGCCATGGAAACTTAGTTTTGTGCTAGATGTCCTCTCCCAGCCCCACCTACCGCAGAGGGTAATTTTTGTGTGTGTGGGGGGAAATGGGATGAAGAATACTAGGTTGCTATATTGCATCTACTGTATATATGCTATATATGGATGTATAGAAGAAGGTGTTGCAGAACCTAGGGGTGAAGTTAAAAGAGGGATCAGCCTAGAATCCCTACGTAGCCACAAATGAACTAAGTCCAAATTCCACTGACCCTTACCTAATTCCAAGCAGGTGCTGTTAGTTGAGAAGCTTCCTTTGCATAGACATAATTAGCAATAAATCAGTTTCATTGAACCTTCACATGTGAACCTGATCTTTCGTGCCTGACAGGATGCCATATGTAGCCATTTTTACTGCTGTATATGCTATATTGAGCTCCTGCAGAACAGAAGGACTAATATTTGGCATACTGTTTTTTGATTTGCTGGCTGAATGACTTTTAATAATTTTATCACATTTTGTTCTGATAGTATATACATCATCCCAATCATCTTTACTGCCTAGTAGTCAATTTGATGCTCCCATAAAATTGTGACTTTCTTAAAGCAAATAATTGAGCTGAGGTTTGAAGCACAGGCCCTCCCTAATCACTTTGTCTGCTAGTAAGAGCATGTGTAAGCACTCCTCTTTTCAGCCTTGCTTTGTAGCGTTGTGTCATCCGAGCCATAAGCCTACTCACAACAGATTCTACTTGTCTCTCCACAGAGTCTCGCCTCCACAGTGAAACTGGGACATTTCTCAGACCTTCCGCCTGGGATCTCCATTGCTTATGACTCCCATTGTGGGGACATAGAAACCTATGGGCAGACAGAGGGTGGAGAATGCAGTGACGTGTCTGTCCACCAGTTGGTGAGTATTTAGGTCAAGAGCTTCTGATGGCGCCAAGCATGTCTCAGGAGAGGCTCCCAAAGAGGTCACTGCGTTACAGCTCCAGCAGTCTAAGAGCGGATAGAGCAGTGATGGCGAACCTTTTAGAGACCGAGTGCCCAAACTGCAACCCAAAACCCACTTATGGATCGTCGGGTGCCAGGTGGGTGTGGCCCATTGGGTGGGTGTGGCCCATTGGGTGGGTGTGGCTGCGGTGGTAACAGCAGACTGGGGTGGGACTAAAAAGTTCAATCAATCAATTCCAACTTTGCAAGATCTTTTTTTTTCCTGCGAGAAGTTGAAATTGACTGGTTGATTGAACCTTTTTTTTTTGTATACGGCAGCGGAGGCCTAAAGCGAAAAGGTTTTATAAAACCCAGCTGAAGGCCTAGGACTGGGACGACGGTGCGTGTGCCCACAGAGAGGGCTCTGAGTGCTGCATCTGGCACCCATGCCATAGGTTCACCACCACTGGGATAGAGGGATGCTGGGAATTAGAATTTGGCAACATCTGGATTGGCACAGATTTATCAGGGAAGTCGATGGAGCCCCTCTCATTCACCTATCCTCCCAAGGTGCAATTCACAGTGAAGATAATGGCAACCACCTGCCTCCCTGAGTCCCAGAAACTGATGTTGCGAGTTTTGGGAGTGGGAGAGGAGGTCCAAGTAGAGCTGTCGACAGTCTGTGAATGCCAGTGTGGAGATGCCCAGCCTGATGCAAACCACTGCTCTGGTGGACATGGCAACCTCACCTGTGGCATTTGCAGGTATTTATCTGATAAATTTCACTGTGTTTTTTAAAAGCTACTTTGCTGTGTCATAATAGTCAAAGATCTTGACAGGCCAGGCAGAAACAGACCTGATAAGTACTAGGAGGGGAGGCAATAGATTTAGCCTGGGAAGGCAACAAAACAGAACACACTCAATAGCAAAATCCTTCTGGTTACCATTGATGTGTCCCAAAGGCCCTGGGAGTCAAGTCTGACTTGAAGGAAGTTTTACTTCACTCCAGTAATGGACTGATAGTAAAATTAAAAGTATAATCGGAATGTATCAATGGTAGAGTTAGTAGTACCTCCAAAAATGCTGCCAAAAAAATTGCATGGACTTGTCCAGGCAGAAGACAAGACTGACTTAAAGGCCTCACCATCACCCTGGAACTAAAATTCTCTCCAGAGAATTCTCGCCTGAAATTCTTTCCAGGATCTAGAATTCCCAGTTTCCCCAGGCGTAAGTGGGAGCTGGGCTCCCCTCGAGAGGCCCATAGCTAGGCTCAGATCAGGCCGCATTCGTTTCTCTCTGACATCCACCGTACTACTGGGATCTCCTTCCAGGATTAATTTTAAGTTGTTCTTGTTTAAACTCCTGTGTCAGCAGCCCCTCTGCACCATCCTACAATGTTCTTGTAAGATTATGTGAGAAGAGGAAAAATATACAAATGAACAGAGGAAGAAGTAAACCATAGGGAGAATGGCAGGGAAAATAAGAGGAAAAAGAAAAATCAGATAAAATGTGACAGATAGTGATGAAGAATGCAGAACAATATGTCACTCCTTCTTCGGCAAGGAAGTTATCTCTTAACTGTTATACTCTCCCCAGCACCACAAAAGCTAACTAATGACTTTGGGAGTTATTCAAACATTATATAAAAACACAGAAAACAAACATTTATAAAGCCATTTTATAAACACAATACTACATTATCATTTTTTTTCAATACATATGTCAGGCTTGTAAAGATCCATCCTAACTCTAATTAATCATTGAATTTAAGTCACTCCCTGTTTGAATAACTCCCAAAGTTTGTAAGATATTATTGAAATTAAATTCAAAATATGAATGGTTAATACTTTTAAAGAGAAGAAAAGATCTTATTGCATTGTTATAAATTGGAGGGAAAGAGTTGAATTTAATGAGTTAATTGTAGTTAGTTGGATTTTTAGTGGCGTGATATGTGTGTGTGTGTGTATGTGTATATATACACACAAACATGAAAGTTTTAATGTAGTTTTATGTTCTTGGGTTCTGAGTTTATAAAGTGGGTTTGAAAATGAAGGTTTTTTTTCTTCTCTATAGCTTAAGTAATCCTTAAAATTTGTAAACTATTATTGAAATTGAATTTTAATGTATGTTAACAGGAAGTTAAAAAACAGTAAAGTTTAAAAACAGATGTGTTAAAATATTGTTTTTAGAAATGTTTTTAAAGAAAAGTTTAATATTTTAAAAAATTTTAAAAAGTATTTTTTTCCCTTTATGGTTAAAAAAGTGGGAAGAATATATTGAATTTTATTAATATAAATTATGACAGTAAAAATTAATGAACAAACAGAAATATATATTTCCAACAGCAAGGAAAAGCAGAGATTGTTAAATCAATTCTTTTATCCAAAGAAGAGAATATATTTAATTTTGTTTCTATTTGGAAATTGCTTCTGGACTGTGTGTTATAATGGGAAAAAATGAAATTTTGATTTTGTTTTTGTTGATTAGACAGGTTTGCTGTTATAGAAATGGCTAGTATATATTATTGTATAAAAGTAAAAAAGTTGAGGTTGTAATGTTATTATCTTCTATTGTGCCAAAGAGAGTTGGAAGTCAATGGCTTTTTTTTCTTTTTCCCTTTCTATCCCACATTTTCTCCTTTTCCCTTCTTCCTTCCCCTAGTTTTCCATTACTTTTTATTTTCCTTTGTATCTTATATTTTGATAAAAATTAATAACATTTGATATACCAAAAAAAAAACCATAACGGATGACCTAAATATCTTCCTCTCCCTCAAAATATAACTGTGATGATGGAACTCTGCAATCTAAACACCATAACTACCACCAAATTGGTTATCGACCACAGAAAATAGTGAAAATTTCACTTATTGTTGCAGAGCAATAAATGTTCAAAAAACCATTTTCTTCCTTTGCCTGGAATAAGATCCAGGTCAGAAATATTGCAATAGTAGTGTAATATTGATTTTTTCTTCTTTTGCCTTCATGAAATGTAGTCTTATGATCTACAGGTAGTTCTCAACTTATGACTGGACTCTTGGTGACTGTTTTAAGTTATGACAGACCACCTAAAAAATACTTACAACTAGTGGTGGGATTCAAATATGTGAACAACCGGTTCTCTGTGTGGATGCCATTTCCGGAAGTCCATTCTGGGCCTGGGCAACAAAAAATTAGCTACCGGTTCTGCCGAAGTGATGCAAACCAGCTGAATCCCACCACTGCTTACAACCCAGATTCAATGAGCCCCCAGGATCATGTGATTGAATTTTGGGTGCTTAGCAACCAGCCTGAATTTACAGCCATTTGCAGCATCTCATATTTGCATGACCATGATTTATGACTTTTTTGGTCAGAAATCAGGTTTACTTTGGTTTCTGGCAAAAAAAAAAAAATGTCCCTTGCAGACCATGGATTCGCTTAACAACGGAGCCCAGAAATTCTGTTTGCTAAATGAGACAGTTAAGTAAATTTTGCCCCATTTCATGACCTTTCTTGTCACAGTTGTTAAACGAATCGCTGCTGCAAAAAATGTCATGAAATCACCCGTGTGACAACCCATGTAACGACCAGCATGACTTATGACAACCATAATTCTGGGTTCAATTACTATCGTAAGTCCGAGGACTTGATCAGATAGAGAAACACGTTCCTGCTATTCTCTGGCTATTT